TGCAACTGTCAATAGGATGCTGCATTTTGCCACAAACACTGGTACTGTCCTTGACTAATTCTACTCTTCCTCCTCCAGTTTTGTCTGCACCAGCCACATAAAACACTGGCAAGCAGACTAGCCTCTACTCTTCTGTCACAACTGTACCTGCGTATTCCAGAGGCTGGGAGGCTGCTCTCAAAATACAGTCCATTGGCTGAAGTAGAACAGTCAGTGCCTGAATCCTCACATCTTGTGGGCTTCAAGGAGGAAACAGCAGTTACCAAAACAAGAACACTTCAATTCCTTCCCAAACATCTGCCCCCAAACGCTGAGCAGAATAATGTTTTTCATGCAGGCTTTTAAACAAGCCAGCAATGACAGAGCAATGAAAGTATTATCACAATTCAAGCCTTCTTCCAAGCTTCCCTGGCTAACTGAAAGCAGAGAGGAAAATGGCTCTGGAATTTAGAAGCAGCCTTATCAAGCTACGCAAATAGAGTGGGATTCTGTGTAAGAAGGGGGTTTAGAGAGAGGCATTTCTCGTCAACAAAATGGTGTCCTTGTATCTTAAGACACAGGTGTTACTTAGCCTGTAAATCAGTATCCATATGTGCTGTGTTCATATGATGATTTCTTGATGCTTTTCAACTACCTAAAGTAGAGTTATGGAGAAGATGCAGGCAGACTTCTCAGAGGTGCACAACAAGACAAGAATCTTAAATTGCAACAGGGTAGATTCCAACTGGATATATAGAAAATTCTTTCCATAGTGAAATGAAAGTGGGTAAGCACTGGAACGTGTTGCCCAGAGAAGCTCTGGAATCCTCATCCTTGGGGATATTTGAAACTTGACTGGTGAAGGCCCTGAGCAACCCTATCTATCTTTGAAGTTAGCCCTGAACTGAGCAAGAGGTTGAATTAGATCACCTCTACAGGTTCCTTCTAACCTAAGTTATTCTACCACTATTGACACGGGTCTCCAGATGCACACTTCTGTAAGACCAGTGAAAGCTTTTACACTAGGCAGCGTTTTTGTGAAAGCGAAAACTGAACAGAGACTACTGGATTTGACAGGGAGTCAAATCGTGTCCATCTTAATCAATCTTGGTAGTATAAAGTTAAAGGAGTTTTCTATTTCTTCCTGAAACTGGGTGGCTGTAGGTAAGATACAAGTGTATACACATAAACACGATATTAGCTCCCTTCATTTCTCTCTCTTTGAAATGGTATTATTCTTACTATCAGCGTCTGAAGTTTGTTAGCTACTGGCATGGTTCTTGCCAACCAGTCTTACATATTAAGGAATGTAGCAAAAAATGCAGTGAGGAAAAAAACAGTTCTTGGAAAGACACCAGAAATTATAGTACAGAAACATTTGCAGAGTGCAAAAATTCTGTTGCAGTAAGTCCTACCATTTGTAGAGCCTCAGAATTCCCACTGCCAAAGGACCTGCTTGTACTGGGGTTAAGTGTTCCAGAGCAGAAGTCACTAGTGCCCAAAAACTGCCTTCAGTGTCACGAAACACAGGGGACCTGAGAAGAAAGAAGCATAAGTAATACATCCTATCAGACGGTGGAAAACAGATATATCTCATCACTGGATCCAAGGTCCCCGATCTTTACCATGCCATGTTAAGCAAAAGATTCGCCAGCATGTGCTGTACTTGAACAGTCTCTTCCGTCAAAAAGGATTCTATCTGCTTTGCTACGCCTAACCAAAGTACTTCAGTCCACGTAGCACGACAACTGCCAAACAAACTAGTTAACAGTTTTAATGACTGCTCGATGTGAGAGGCAGAGCTGGACTGAAGGGAATCTTCTATACGCTTTATAATCATTTGGGCACACGCTGGCCAGTCACAGTCCTTTGTACTGAGAGGTTTAGTCGTTTCAGACTCTACAGAGAGGGTGAGCATGTGCACCAGAAGCTGACTGGCAGCTGAAGCCACAAACAGGCTGGGATCCCCTTGCAGAGTGAAGATCACATCTATGCCCCCTGTGTGAAAACAAAACAAGTCACTGGAGGAAAAACAACAGCCTTCCTATTGTGAGGTGGAGCCTTGTTGCACTCCAACCATATATTATTCTAATTCAAGTACTACACAGCTTTAAATGGTGTTGGTGGGGGTTTTTATACTTTATTTTGTAGTCTCTATGGCGTTTCAAAGTCAGCCAGTCCTTAACAACAAACAAACAAAAAGCAAACAAAAGAAGAAAGTAAAACTGTTTTCAAATCCTCAGGTGTTTTAATAACTCAGGAACACAAGAGAACTTCAATATAACATTAGTAATATTAGGAGAGTTGACAGCACACTCACTGTATTTATGGAAGGAGCCTGTACCATCTCCAGACACAAGCAGTACAAAAAACATGAACAGCAGCAACAGTACTACTTTTCCATCACATGGACAGCAGCGCATGCTGCATGTTAATACCAATCCAGTCTTTTAGGCTGCTCTGTACGTGGGATCTAAAGTTGGTGTTAACAGTAGAATTTACATATCTACATAACAACGAGACTGCAAATGTGTGCAAGTATTAAATGAGCCCCTGGTTAGTTTTTCTGCACTAAAATCATATTGAAACGTACCTTTCAGTAAGAGTTACAAGTAAGAATAAAGAAAGCTTTTAATAAGCTATTTTTATCATGTGTTTCATAAGATGTGCCTCTTTCCCCTCTAAAAAGGGCATCTCCTTCAGTGTTTGGGGGTGGGGGGGGAGGAAGTATAACTAATTTAACAAAAACCCCACCATCTTTCAATGACTTCAGCGTTTTTGACAAATGGCTTATTTTTGTGTTAAATAAATGAGAACACCTGTCTCTCTCATTTGAGATCTGAGCAACAGACTGGAATGGAAGAGACACAGAGGATTTGGGGAGTTCCCAGTCCTCGAAGTACTCACCACCACTGCAGAGCAAGTGGAGGGCAGGCTGGTGATGCATCATGTTGTGCACACCCTGCACCCAGCCACTTCGCACAGATGCATCTTCCCACACTGCGCTGTTTGGAGGCCCATCCCTGCCAAAAAGCCTGGCCAACAGCTTCTCCTGCTGAGGCCAGAGGAGAACACACAGAGTAAACGGTAAGCAAAGGGGCTCAAGGGGAGCGGAGAGGTTGCTCTGTCATCCAAGTCACTAGTATCAATACTGTAGTGAAACCTTCTCTTGCTAGAAGCATCACTAAAATAGAAAATTTTCAGAATCCCATGCTTAAACTCAACACACGTCCCTTTGATGAAGTAAGCAATAGAGGTGTTCAAGACCAAAACTGCTTGGTTTTAAGATGCTAGGGACAACTTATGTATATATCAGTTCCATTAGACTGCTTTATGCAGTTGCATGCATAAAGGGCATCTTTATGCCCATAAGAGGGCTCTTCCCTCAAAGCCTTTTGGGTTTTGAGTTTGGTACTATAAATGTATTCTATTGTAGAAAGCAGGGCTTTAGAAAGCTCCCTCATTTTTGCAGGGAATCAGAGATTTCCTGTCAACCTACTATGGAGGAAAAACTACGTCTGTTAGTGCAGTTTAAATCTACAGGATCTGTCCAGGGATACAACATTTTGCAATGACAGCTGTGAAGTAGTGTTATCCCATATACTGTTTCGAGCTGAAAATGAGAAGCACTATGTATTAGCATTCATAGTACTATTGAGGCAAGACAGAAGTAAGAAGTCATGCTTTACATGAGAACTGAAAAGGAACGGTATGATTGTAGGTCTTCATTACCGTATCACTGTTTGCCGAGTCATTTGACGCATGCCAGAATTTTTATAAGCAGAATACATACATTTTCAGGCGCCCTCCGTATAGAAGGAGGAAACAGACACGTGGCAGCAGTTACCTGGGTAGCCGACTCACCTGCAAGTGTTGGAAGCGGTTTTCGGAAGCGGCAAGTATCCCAGCTAACCGCAGAGTAAAGGAGAGGATGCTCGGACTGGGCTCTGGCAGTGCCAGCACGGAGGTGATGAACTCTGTCAGACAGGGGTTGTCCTGCACCAGCTGCACGGTAGAATCTAGCGACCAGGTGTTGCCCAAGAAAAGGCCAGAAAACAGAGGGTCACTGCCAGGACCTCCATCCCCTCTCACAACTCTAAGGCGCTTGCCTGAGCTGAGCGTAACCCCTCGCAACTGTTAGGGACGAATTTGGGTTCTCCTGAAGCCCAGGCACAGGCCTCAAGTACTGCACAGCGTTTTCAGGGGTCACCGAGGGACCAGCAGCCCCGAGGGAGGCTTCCCCCGGGGTGCCGGCCCGCAGGCCTCCCTCCCCCTCGGACAAGACCCTGCCGGTCACCGGCGGCCGGGGCTTTGGGAGAGGGGAGGTGGGGTGTGGGCCCTGCAAGCGGCGGGCACTCACCGAACAGCGTCAGCTCCTGGAACCAGTCGAGCAGCTTCTCCAGGCAGGTGTCGTCGGAGCCGGGTTGCCGCGGGTCGGCCAGGGCGGCGCAGACGCGGGGCAGCAGGAGAGCGCACTCACGGGTCATGGCGAAGCGGCGGCGGGCCCGGGCGAGGAACCACGGTTTCTGGAAGGACATGGCCATGGCTACGGCCACGGGGGGTGC